CATCACATTCAGCCTTTGTTGTTGAAATGTTCCTCTCTTTTGATGTGAATTTACTGACTGGTGCTTCAGCATAAAGAAAGCTCTGAACTATTTTCTCCACAAAAGTTTTTTCTTTCTGTGAATCTACTAATATTTTGGTTTTTCCATCTGAAGATAAAATATGAACACTGACTTTCTTTTTTGCAGACGATGTTCTGTTTAGCTTTTTATTTTTCTTTACAGCTACATTTTGAAGACCTTCTTCTTTTTCTCCATTTAAGGCAAGGGTGTAATCATAGTTGTTCTGTAACACTGGGTTGAAGTTGATACATACTTCGCTATTTTTGTTTTCTAAGTCATACGAGACTTTACCTCTACATACACATGGCCACCTATTCAAAATAAACTTTTGCATATATCTCTCTTCAGAATAAGTTATGGGGTATGTTTCACTTGCTTTCTGTAGGAAAAAAAAATTGAACTTCAGTTTTTTCTTCTGCTACTAATACCCTTTCTATGACATTTGCATAAAGTTGTTCACAAAAATGGCAGAGGCAGAGACCTAGCCAGTAACATCATATACATATCTAAACATCCACATCATACATTGCAGTGCCATATAATAAAGTGTGCTTATTATATATCTTTGATACTTGTTTCCACACTTCACAGACAGTGGGTATTGTTTTTATTACAGAAGACAATAGGAAAAAAGTGAAAAAAGATGCACAGAGGATTCATTGGAAGAAAATTCCCCCACAGCTCTTTACAGTCCTTACACAGATCAAAACAAAATAACTCAAGCAGAAAATACCACAGGAAGTGGAATCAATCATAAGGCCAGGGAAAGGGTTCATTCAGGACATGCCTTAAACTAGCTAAGTTTATTCTTCAGGGTTAAAAAATCTAGGGAGACCTTAGGGCCCAATTGCCCTTTTACTTTGTTATAATAGTGATAATGAAGTTTTAACCCTTAAGCACCATGAACATGAGTATGTGTATTCATCCTTCCTACTCTTTATTAACAGGCTAGAACCATGTGAATATTCATCTCCAACTCCTAACCTCATCTTCAGGCCAAAGAAGTGCCCTGATCCCTATATTCTGTCAAACAAGTCCCAACCCTTGTCCAGTACTAGAACATATTCTCTTACTAACCTTATGCAGTTTACAGCAATTCCTTCCACATGGTCACTAGCTGTAAGTCAGATCTTCCCTAGCTGCAGACCCTAGTGTTATCTGCCTTCTGTCTCATCCTGCTCATTTGCAAACTAAGCAGGACCTGGCAGTAGACCAGGTCAGGTGTGCTAGAATGAGGCCAAGTTGGCACTGTCTTGTCCCAAGAGTGCTACTTTAACCTGTCTTCCAGGAATCAGAAAGACACTCATTGTCTCATCTCCTGCAGAGTTTCTTAATTGAAACCCTAGGAAACTGGCCAGCACTCAAGACATTAAATTTCCTAGGGTTGCCTCCTGGCAAAACTCCATTTACTTCACTGGGACAAGGATTGCAGCTCTGCTGAATGTTACATTGTATTCATGCTATTCCCAGTGCAGACAGTAAAACAGTTCATGGAGTGTAATCCGCTATTGTGGCAATCTGACCTGTTCCGAGTAGATTATCCTCTTAATAGCAATATGCAATAATATAGGTCCTGTAATAAACTTTGTGAAACAAACAGAGCATTATTACCACTGGACTGGGAAATTTTGCCTTTGATGATCCAGCATGGATTATTTTGGCACCAGGCTTTTCCATTTCATCCTCAATGCTCAAGGAAATTAGGTTTTTCTTTTCTTCTGAATTACATTTTTTTGACTCTAAGTTACTCTTCACACTTCCTTGATTAAAAGCACTTTCCTTCAGAAGAGCTTCTTTTCTTAAAATAAAGAAAGCAAACATCCCATATTTAAACCAGAGATGACTCAGATAGTTGTTTGTCACCAGAGACATGCTAAGGCAGCAGTGTTTAAGAAGCATGTGCTAAATTGGGTCACTTAGCTTATCTGAGGTGTTGCTCATATTGCCCAGAGTCAACCTACAATGAGGAGAAAGCAGTGGACTTCGTGGAAATTTAGGGCTAGATTTTCAAAAATGCTCAGTACCCAGCAGGTCTATGGCTAAGTACAGACTGTCAAAAAGCCCAAGGCTGAATCCACTGAATCTTTGCAGGTTAATTTAAACTGTGTAGATTGAACTGAGAAGCAAGTGAATAGACATTCACTTTTGATTCCAGAAACATAGGCACATGCCTGCAGTGGCTCAGGCTAGAAGCCGGGGGCATTAAAGCAGCCCTCCCTTCCCTTTGGCAGTGGCTGGAAGGCTGGAGGGAAGCTAGGAAAGAAATCCTTCAGGTTTCTCCACCCCCTCCCTACTCAAGCTGCAGGGATGGGAGGCATGGCCAGGCCCCAGCAGACCACTGAGTATGATTGGGGAGGGGGGTTTAAACCCCCAGTCTGGCCTGCATAGACCCCAGCCAGGGTGTGCCTGGAGGGGAAGGGGGAAGCAGCCCCTGCTAGGCTTTTTCCCTGCTTCCCACTGGAGGGGCGTGGGGAGGCATGGCCAGACCCTGGCCTGGGCCAATATGCTGAGATAGAAGGGAGGAGTGTGGTGTTTAACCTCCCCCCTGCCAACACAGGACCCCAGCCAGGGCTTGCTTGGCAGGGGCACAGCAGCCCCTGCCTGGCTTTTCCCTGCTCACCACTCCAGCAGGGCGAAGGCATGGCCAAATACCAGCCCCAGGATGACATACTGAGGCAGAGGGGAGGGAGGGAAGTTTAAACCCCCTATCCTGCCTGCACAGGACCCCAGCCAGGGGCTGTCTGGCAGGGGTGCAGCAGCCCCTGGCTGGGGTCCCATGCAGTCAGGAGAGAGGGTTTAAATTCCATTCCCTCCCCTCAGTTTCAGCATGCCAGCCCAGGGATGGCATCTGTCCATGCCCCTTGCCACCTCCACTTGAGCAGCAAGCAGGGAAAGCTTGGCAGGGGCTGCTCTGCCCCCACCAGGCACACCCCAACTGAGGTCCCATGCAGGCAGGGGAGGGGGCTTAAAGCCCCCTCCCTTCCTCTGCTTCATTCTGCCAGCCTGGCCCAGGATTTGGCCACCGCCACCTGCACTCTAGTGGCAAGTGGGGGAAAAGCCTGTAAGGAGCTGCTCTGTCCTTGCCAGGCAAACTATGGCTGGGGTCCAGAACAGGGTTTCCCACCCCCACCCCCTTGCAGCCAGGCAGAGCAGTGATAGTGCTCTGGTTAGGGCCTACCCTGCTCTGCTGGATCTGCAGCACAGTAACCTGGAAATGCTGCAAAGCATCCTGGGATGCTAGAGGACTGCAAGGTAACTTGAACCAGGGAGGGATCTGGGACAGAAGTTCCATAAGCTGATTTCACCTAAGTCAGTTAAGTCTGATACTACATTCAACCAGAATCACCTTAAACCAATTTTAGCCAGTTTGAAAGCAGTTTAAGTGCACTGAACTTCTGTTCTGATACAGGCAAGCTGTTTGAGAAAATTATTCTGGCACACATCCAGGAGGGGCCAGCAGGGGACTGCATGCTTCGGGGCAACCAACACAGGTTCATCAGTGGCAGGTCCTGTCAGACCAACCTGGTGGCCTTTTACGATCAGATCACCAGATCATTAGATGCAGGGGTAGCAGTGGACAGTCTTCCTGGACTTCCGGAAGGATTTTGACACTGTCTCTCACCCCGTTCTCATTAAGAAACTGGGGGGCTGTGGCATAGACACCCACACAGCCAAATGGGTCGCCAACTGGCTGGAGAGCCGCACCCAGAGGGTGGTAGTGGATGGGTCCTTCTCAACCTGGAAGGACGTGGGCAGTGGGGTTCCGCAGGGCTCGGTCCTCGGGCCCGCGCTGTTCAACATCTTCATCAGTGATTTGGACGAGGGGGTAAAAAGCACCCTGTTCAAATTTGCTGATGACACTAAGATGTGGGGGGACGTGGGCACACTAGAAGGAAGCAACAGGCTACAATCTGACCTAGACAGGTTACAAGGGTGGGCGGATGAGAATAGGATGGGTTTCAACACAGACAAGTGCAAGGTGATGCACCTGGGGAGGAACAACCGGCACCATACCTACAGGTTGGGGAACTCCCCTCTTGTCAGCACGGAGGCGGAAAAGGATCTTGGAGTCATCATTGACTCCAAGGTGAACATGGGTCGGCAGTGTGGGGAGGCAGTTAGGAAGGCCAACCGTACCTTGTCATGCATCCACAGATGCATTTCAAGCAGGTCAAAAGAGGTGATCCTCCCCCTCTATGCGGCACTGGTCAGGCCGCAGCTGGAGTACTGCATCCAGTTCTGGGTGCCGCACTTCAAGAGAGGTGTGGACAGCATGGAGAGGGTCCAGAGGAGGGCCACTCGCACGATCAGGGGGCAGCAGGGCAGACCCTATGAGGAGAGGCTATGGGACCTGAACCTGTTCAGCCTCCACAAGAGAAGGCTGAGGGAGGATCTTGTGGCCTGTTATAAACTAGTCAGGGGGGATCAGCAGGCATTGGGGGAGTCACTGTTCCCCCGAGCACAGCCAGGAGTGACCAGGAATAACAGTCACAAGCTGGCAGAGGGTAGGTTTAGGTTAGACATCAGGAGGCGATATTTCATGGTCAGGGCGGCTAGGGCCTGGAACCAACTTCCAAGGGGGTTTTTAAGATGAGGTTAGATGAACACCTTGCTGGGGTCGTTTGACCCCAGTACTCTTTCCTGCCATGGCAGGGGGTCAGACTAGATGATCTGCCAAGGTCCCTTCCAACCCTAGAAACTATGAAACTATGAAACTAGGTTTAAACCAGTTTCTGATCACTTAAACTGGTTTATGTGTAACTTCCATCCCTAGCCTATTTGACATGTGGCGGGCTCGCCACTTTTGCCCGGCTTGGAAAAGGACACTTTGGACTGGTGGAACATTTCTACCAATCAGGTAACAGCTTGCCCTGCCCCTGCTCGGTGGAGGGTGGGGGGGGCGAGGAGCCCCTGCACCTGATTGAAGACTGTGCTTTGCAGGTCTGGCAGACTTCAGGGGCAGGGCCTCCACTGTAAATAAAAGCCCAGCATGCTCAGCACACTGGGCAGAGACAGGAGGGATGTTGGAGAGGGAAGAGCCTCCACCGGGATCCCGTCTTCACCCCAGCAGTGTGCAACCTGGCACAGGTTCTGGGAGCCGCGTTGAGGCATCTCGAGCCTTCATCTCAGCAGAGGGCTGGATGGAGCAGTGTGCAGACTGGCACTTGGAGAGCTGGCCTTGGGAGCAACTTGAGGCTGCTCAGGTTAGCCCTGTCATAAGCCAGATAAATGGAGCCCTGCAGTGTGGCCTGGCTAAAGAATTAAAAGAGCCCCGGAGCCTAGAGCAGGGGAGGCCGAAGCGTAAGGCTAGGTAAACCCAGCCAGCAGCGGTTAGGTTTCTCCCCACGAAAGCTGGAAGAACCCTCGGTGCCCAAAGCAGGGCACAGGGCCAGGAGGGTCTCGAAGTGACGCAGACAACGCTGGTAGGGCCTCTGATTGAGCAAAGGGCTCTGAGGCCCAGTCGACAGCAAGTGAATGGTTGTCATTCCTCTTTGATTAGCAGACAACTACCCACCTCTCCAGTTTACAGAGCAAAGTCAGTTCATCTTTTTAGTGCAGCCAAATCTGCAGTAGGATATAACACAGCTTGGCCATTCAGAGAAACACTACAAAAGGGCTCAGCGGGAGAGAACAATTTTATATCCATTGGAAATTGGAAGGGTATTTGAAAGTAGATAACATGTAATTTCTGGTTAGAAACTGAGCAGCCCCTAGGGTTAATGATTTTGTCCTTGCAAAAACTTACACCAGATCTCTCCCTTGTGGAAGATATAACCAGAATGACCTTTCAGCTTTATAGTAAAATAGTATTTTCAGCAACAGTAAAATAAGAAAGAACCTAAAGGAAGTACTTTCAGTTGCCTGCCCCTGGAGCACTGATTTAATATTGACACAGAAGGGAGGGAACTACCTACTGAATTGCCCAGAGCACTTTACGCTTCACAAATCTACACAATCCAGGAGGTTCTCCACTCCAAATACTCTACACCTCCACTCTGTCCAGGCCTAACCTTGTTTTTTTGTGCCATTTAACTATTGAATGAGGTCATAATTAGAAAGGAAGAGTCAGATATGAACTCCTGAATTATTGGGAGCTGCCATGCAGTATGTCATTTATAAGATAATTTCACTTAAATTTGCAATACTGTTTACACTACAACAGTACTTACCCTGCCTTCTGATCATCTGATGACAAAAGCCCATTGACACAGACACAGACTTTATTGTCTCTTTCTAGCTGTTGAGCAACAGTTTTGCCAGATTCACCATAAGTGCTGTATTGTCCTAACTCGTCTCCTGAAAGGCAAGTGAGTTTTCATACATGATATGTAAATATGGACATATAGGAAATAAAAGTTACTTCTGGGAAGATAATATTAGACACCAAGCACTGTGAAACATCTTTCACTAAATTATATCAGTGGTTTAAACTGAATGATTCTAGCCTACAACTTTGTATAAAAGATGATTTATTTGAATACAATTCAGCCACAGGGACTCCTTCAGAGCAAGAAACCCAAAATAGTAATAGAAGTGTGGTAGGGCAGCTAGAATCGCATATCAGGATACACTGCATCTTCTTGCAGTCGGTCAGGCTTGGGGTCGGTCCCTAACTGATGGGACGCTCTGTTGTGAATTATAGTGCACTGCACTCTTGGCTCATTGAACACTGAATTATTAACAGCATCCTTAAAGCCACACTTCAGCTGGTTGTACACTGGTGCACAAAAGTATAAAGAAACTGAAGAGCTTGGCTTCCAATTCAGTTTCTGCAAAGGGAATCACAAGTACAGGACAAGGGAGACTCAGGGCAAAGAGCAATAGTAAGGGCTAGATAGAGACGTACAAACATCCTGCCTATAGGTGGTGCTGAGGCCTTGCCACCAAGGAACTACAAGGCGCTGTGTCTCCCTGGGGTATTGTGGCTTCATGCCAAACTACCCCAGGGAGACGCAGTGTATTTAGTAAGCGTGCAAATGTAACTAAGAGAAAAATCTGAGGACAGTGCAGCTGCATAGATGTAAGTGAAGGTGATATTCACGGCTCAAAACATTTATTGCTAGGGTTAATGCCCCAAGTCAGAAATGACTTCATTTGTTTGTCAGATCTTAGGCTGAGTTGACAAGTCAAGCAGTTAAAAAAATATCTTTTACTTGTAAATAGAGCAAAAATCGATATGGAATCACTGAGACACCAGAGAAACATCCCCATGTGGAGGGGTGCATGGCTGCCATTGCATACACCCCTGCACATGGGCTTGGTGCAGAGCAAATTGTCCCAGGGTGGGTAGGGGAGGCTGGGGCCAACACCTGTGCTGGTCCTAGCAGCCTTACCTGGGGTCCTCGGGCCTCCTGGGGCAGCAGCAGCAGAAATCTGGTGCCTCAGAGCCTGGCTAGTGGTCAGAGCATGGCTCTAGCTGGCCAGTTTGGGTGGTGTATGGTGCTGCCACGTGCAGCACACTACTTTTTTCAATGGCATTTTTTGTTGACACTGGGATTTCCCAGTGTCAAAAAACCCCACAGCACTGCTAATTAGTAGCACAGCAAATGGGTTCACATGCAGTTTGCAGCAACTCAAAGCGGGAAGCAGCCCCTGGTAGGCTTTTCTCCTGCTTCCCACTGGAGAGGGTGGGGAGGCATGGCCAGGCCCCAGCCTGGGTCAGTATGCTGAGACAGAGGGGAGGAGAGGGGATTTAAACCCCCTCCCCTTTCCAACATGGGACCCCAGCCAGGGTTTGCTTAGCAGGGGCACAGCAGCCCCTGCCTGGCTTACCCGTGCTCACCGCTCCCGCAGG